CTGAGGCAGTGAAGCTTTGGAGTCCACTGTATCACAAAAAGAGTCATTACTGGAAGTGTCATTTTACTCGAGGTTCATTAGTGACACCTGCTGTTAAATGTAGTGAAGTGCAGCCCAAATCAATTTTGCACAGGGTAAATACTGCCATGTTGCATCAGTTGAGTGAAAATTCTATTTTTACTTAAAAAGAAACATTTCTATTCTACTACATTACGTTATATGTCACATACCCTTTGTCAAAGAGGGAGATAATAAAAAAAAATATTATTGGGTTGTTTAAACAGCCCAAACCTATGCTGTCTCCCTCCCTCTCCTTCTGCAGAGCTGCCCTCACCGCTCTGCTCTCACCCTGAGTCTGGCCTCGTCCTTCTCTCCTATCTGACACAGCTACTGTCCCGAGACTCAGCTGTTTATGTCAGAAGACGTATTCTGTTAGGTTTGTAAACAAGCTAATAAAGGGACACTAAAAGCAAAGCTAGGTAGTAATTGCAGGTATTTGCCAGATGTTAAGATGAACTGATGCCAGTGGGGTTGTACTGGTACTTGAAACTTTTTCAGGGTTCAAGGATGTTATTGTCAATTCACCATATGTGCAGGACATACAGAAAATCGAAATACCGTTTCTCTCTCACCTAGTATTGGGTGCCATAACATTTAGGAACTAAAATAGAATAAAGTAGAATAAAAATAGAACAGAATAAGAACTGGATGGATGTAATTAGGATAAATCTAAACGGTACAGCCAATAAGCTGTGATTCAAAACCCTGTACAGTCAGTGACAGTAGTGTAAACAATAATAGGAGATTGTCAGATGGTTCAGCATCACCAGCGCGTTGGTGATGAGGTGCAATGTATTGAGTTTGTACAACAGCAGAGGTAGTCTTTTTATATCTTTTTATGTTCTGTGGTGGGTTTCGGTCCGTGGGAAGAGGGGGGGAAGTAGTGAACAGTGTTCAGCATCCTCACAGCCTGGTGGATGAAGCTGTTTGTAAGTCTGGTGGAGTGGGCCTGAAGAGTCTGATACCTTCTCCCTGAAGGCAGGAGTCTGCAGTGGGAGTGTGCGGGGTGGGAGGTGTCATCAGCAATGCTGATGACTCTGTGGGTGAGGCTGACTTCAGTATATATTTTTAAATACCTGGACATAAAGCCCTACGCACCTCTTTGTCATTCTCTTTCTCTCTATCTCTCTTGTTTTTGTTTTCTTTTTTTTCTGAGCACCTGACTTTAGTGACTGGCTGTTTGTCAAGTTTACCGAATGTGTGAACGCTCCGTTACAGCAGTGTGACAGACCAAACCTTTTTTTGTCATTGTTGTTCAGCCCAGGGCTCAGCACAGCTGACCTGGTGTTCGAATGTGTCCTGCACATCCTCTTCCTGCCTACACCTAGGTCACAGGTAAAGTAGTTTAAAGTTTAAATGTTAATGTCAGAACCCCCCATGCACTGGGATGATGTGTTTGTTGCTGGCATCTTTACACACATTTTTAACCTGTCCCTCACCAAATCAGTTGTGCCGACATGCTTCAAAACCACCTCCATTGTGCCAGTGCTGAAACATTCCACCCTGACGTGCCTGAATGACTACTGCCCTGTAGCACTCAAACCCATCGTCATGAAGTGCTTTGAGCACCCGGTCCTGGCACACCTGATGACCTGTCTCCCACCCACACTGGATCCCCACCAATTTGCCTACCGCAGCAATAGGAGCACCGAGGATGTAGTCTCCATAGCACTGCACTTTGTACTCAAACATCTGGACAATAACAGTACTTACGTATGCCAGAATGCTGTTCATGAACTTCAGCTGAGCATTTACCATGGTCTCGCTGATGACTCTGTGGGTGAGGCTGACTTCAGTATATATTTTTAAATACCTGGACATAAAGCCCTACGCACCTCTTTGTCATTCTCTTTCTCTCTATCTCTCTTGTTTTTGTTTTCTTTTTTTTCTGAGCACCTGACTTTAGTGACTGGCTGTTTGTCAAGTTTACCGAATGTGTGAACGCTCCGTTACAGCAGTGTGACAGACCAAACCTTTTTTTGTCATTGTTGTTCAGCCCAGGGCTCAGCACAGCTGACCTGGTGTTCGAATGTGTCCTGCACATCCTCTTCCTGCCTACACCTAGGTCACAGGTAAAGTAGTTTAAAGTTTAAATGTTAATGTCAGAACCCCCCATGCACTGGGATGATGTGTTTGTTGCTGGCATCTTTACACACATTTTTAACCTGTCCCTCACCAAATCAGTTGTGCCGACATGCTTCAAAACCACCTCCATTGTGCCAGTGCTGAAACATTCCACCCTGACGTGCCTGAATGACTACTGCCCTGTAGCACTCAAACCCATCGTCATGAAGTGCTTTGAGCACCCGGTCCTGGCACACCTGATGACCTGTCTCCCACCCACACTGGATCCCCACCAATTTGCCTACCGCAGCAATAGGAGCACCGAGGATGTAGTCTCCATAGCACTGCACTTTGTACTCAAACATCTGGACAATAACAGTACTTACGTATGCCAGAATGCTGTTCATGAACTTCAGCTGAGCATTTACCATGGTCTCCCCCTCCAAATTAACCACCAAACTTGGCGACCTGGGCATCAGCACCTCCCTCTGCAACTGGACTCTGGACTTTCTGACCAACAGGCCTCAGCATGTTAGGTCAGACAACACCAGCTCCTCCACCATTATCCTCAACACTGGTGTACCACAGGGCTGTGTGCTGAGCCCATTCCTCTACTCCCTTTTCACCCACGACTGCAGGCCTGTGCATTGCTCCAACACCATCATCAAGTTTGCAGATGACATCATGGTGATCGGCCTCATCAGCGACAACGATGAGTCAGCCTACAGGGAAGAGGTACAGCACCTGGCTGTGTGGTGCACTGACAATAACCTGCTGCTTAACACCAACAAGACCAAGGAGCTCATTGTGGACTACAGGAGGGAGAAAGAAGGCACACATGACCCCATCCACAATAACAGGATGGCTGTTGAACGTGTCTCCAGCTTCAAATTCCTGGGGACCCACATTTCAGAAGATCTGTCCTGGTCCACCAACACCTGCAGCCTGGTTAAGAAGGCTCACCAGCTCCTCTTCTTCCTGAGGACACTGAAGAAGAACCACCTGTCTTCAGCCATCCAGGTGAACTTCTACCGCTGTGCCATTGAGAACATCCTGACCAGCTGTATCACAGTCTGGTATGGAAACTGCTCTGTCTCTGACTGTAAGGCGCTGCAGCGGGTGGTTAAAACTGCCCAATGCATCACAGGGATTCCACTTCCAGCCACTGAGGGCGTCCACAGGGAACGCTGTCTCTGACGTGCTCGCAGCATTCTCAATGACTCCTCTCACCCTACTCACAAACTGTTTGACCTCCTACCCTCTGGGAGGCACTTCAGGAGCCTCCAGACCAAAACCAGTAGACTCAGGAACAGCTTCTTCCCCACAGCTGTCTCCTTACTGAACTCTGTCCCCCGTTGA